TTTTGTGTAGACTCCGTGAGACCGGACACCGGGTCTTAATATTCTCACAAATGGTCAGAATGTTAGACATTTTAGGCGAATATTTAGCATTGCGTCGATTTCCGTACCAACGACTCGACGGTTCCGTCAGAGGAGAGATTCGAAAGCAGGCTTTGGATCATTTCAATGCTGAGGGCTCTCCAGACTTTTGTTTCCTTTTGTCGACTCGCGCGGGAGGTCTTGGTATCAATTTGGCCACCGCTGACACTGTTGTCATATTTGATTCCGATTGGAATCCACAGAACGATCTGCAGGCACAGGCCAGGGCTCATAGGATTGGTCAGAAAAATCAGGTCAATATCTATCGATTAGTGACTAAAGGCAGTGTCGAGGAGGACATCATTGAACGCGCGAAGAGAAAAATGGTTTTGGATCACCTCGTCATCCAACGAATGGACACAACCGGGAGGACTGTATTAGCGAAAGATAGTACGGATACGCGTTCTTCCAATTCTAATCCCTTTAATAAGGAAGAGTTGGCAGCGATTCTCAAGTTTGGAGCCGAAGAACTGTTCAAAGAAGGAGAAGATGGAGACGACGAACTCCAGTGTGATATCGATGAGATCAACTACATTATAAGTTTAATCTATAACTTACGTTAATATCTCTCTCGTTCTTTCTTTTTCTTTAATTAATGAACTTTATTATGAATACAAGGATTGCACATATTTTACAAGGAAAGAGATATTAACGTAAGTTATAGATTAAACTTATAATGTAGTTGAAAATAGTTTTAAGTTTTAAATTATTATTTATAAAATTATCTCTAAATATCTCTAAACAATTACAAATAGTTTTGTTTGTGTCTAATTTATTATCTTATTGTTCATTATTTGCCAATTGCAAATTGTGATTACAATTTAAACTAAAATGCGTGTAAGTATTTACTATTTGAATACTGTATAAACTATTTAGATTAGGGTTGTTGTAAAAGTGGACTTAAACTCATATTTTGTCGAAATATATTAAAAGCATTGAACAGAATGTGTTTATTTATGACTACATAAACAGAATATACTTCACATAAAATAGACTATAAATTCATTTCAATGTAATTCTACGGTTATAATTAGGGATAAAATTTCCAATGAAATTTTTATTTGTTTGTATTAATTTAAATTTCAAAATTTAGACTGTATTTTCACAAATATGTGAAAGCTTAACTAGATACTTTTATTAGTGTGTAATATGTAATTGAAATATTTATTAATTTAAATAATAACAAAATACATTTTGGTTAAATATTTTAATTTTACTGAATACTGTTTATAACTCTTGAAAATTCTGTTATTTTAATTTTTTAAGATTTTTTTTCTTGAAACAAGACTTATAAATAAATACTACAAAACCGGCGACAAATTTACTGTAAAAATTTGTTTTGAATAGCATTTAAATTATATTTCTTGTTGAAAATAGTAACCAATTTAGGTTTAATTTATTTAATTTGGAAATATAGACATTTTTGTTTAAAAATATTCTAATATTTTGTTACACTTACATGAATCATGAATTGTTACATGATATAGAAAATGTTTATAGAAAATTGACAACCTTAAATTTAATGCATTCTACGTTAACAGTAAAGCATATTATAATGATTACAATGCATGGATCAGATCTAATAGATTGACAACAATTGGTGAACAAAGTACTGTATATCAAGGCTGACAGCATTGTTCACATAAGATAAGCAAGTTTTGGGCGTTTTTCCTATTAGTCAACTCAATGTACGCCTCAATCATATTAATTATTAACACTATATTACGTTATTTTTAGTGAATAGAAAATCATTGACAAAATAAAATGGATATTCCAATAGTTATATAACTGTAACAAAAATATGTTCACTTTATTGTGACCCTTACAGTTCTATTAATAGTAACATCTAATTAGTCTTAAATTAATAGAGATAGAGCACAGAATAGTACACACAGTCAAAGATTCTGTTTGCTTGTAAGATATGCCATACAATATAATTTACCATTATTAATAATTAACGGGTATTTGAACTCTTCTAAATATTAAACTTAACTTTGGGTCAATTGAATTATTTAAAAGAGTCCCCAACACTGGGGTTAAGGCCGGAGAATGTGCCCCTTTGGGGGTAGGGGTAGGGGTGGTACTCCAGACCCGGACGCCCAGCTCGGGTGATGTGCTGTTCCTTTGTTTGATGTATTTGAAAACATTTAGTATGGTTTGGGGGTAGAAAGTTGTATGACACCACTTTTCTAAGCCTACTACTCTTAGCATAAAGTGAGCTTTATTAAAATTAATTGTAAAAATTGTTCAATAATTATAAAGAATGAAAAGATAAGAATACAAAAGAAAGAAATATTTAAGAAAATGATTCCTATTTTAGAGCGTTTCAAAGATTCCGAGAATTGGATCCCAAAAGAGTGCCACATGTGATGACTTGTGATGAGTCGCATAACATTTCCATTTCAATGGACAAAATTGAGAGAATGGCAGAATTGAAGGCATTCTTAATCTTACAATTAATTGCTAATAACTAATCAATGTTCCAATGAATAGGAGAATCCGTTTAAACAAAGAATATGTAAAGTGTTTTCACACGACGGGAGCGGAGACATGACTTTTGATGACTTTCTGGACATGTTGTCGGTGTTCAGCGAACCCGCGCCCCGGGATGTCAAGGCTTTCTATGCCTTTAAAATATACGGTCAGTATTGAGGACACAATAAAGAAGTGAAGGTTAATGTATTGCAAACATTGCACAGACTATGACGACGACGGCATTATATCAGTGCACGACTTGCAGCAAACGGTGACGTCTTTGACTCGCGGAGAATTAAGTCACGAAGAGATCGCTATTATCTGCGAGAAAGTGCTCGAAGAAGCGGACAATGACGACGACCGGCGCGTCTCTTACATGGAGTTCGAGCACGTCATCACTCGAGCCCCAGAATTCTTGAGGTATTCCTCTCAAGACAATGGTTAACGCATTTGTAATTGGTTTGCATTTTTATTTTTTAGTACATTTCACGTTAGAATCTAATGGCTTAATATGTGGACAGATTTGGCATCAATTATATACATGACTATAAATACAATTTTAAATTACATATAACTTTAAGGCAAAATATTCAATGCAAACCCTAATAAAGACTACATCTGTGAGACAATACCATACAATACATGCTATGATATTAGGGTTTGCATTGAATGTTGCCATTTATTAGTTAAAGTGCTTTCAAGTAATTAACATAAAAATTAATGAATTGTTCAAAAGCGAGCGTTTGGTACTTCTTTCTCGTAGAAATAGATAACAACTTCTCCTTTGTTTGTATTAACAGTTTGCGTGACTTTTGCGAGAAAAAGAGCCGACAGTCCATACATTAGCGACGGAACACCTGATAAGTGATCGAAAATAAACTTTTTATCACTAATTGAGTCAAATGTGTGACAAATACCCAAATTTATAACTTTAAGACAAGTAAACAATCGGTCCTCAAGAGTGAGATCTTGTAGTGTCCGTCGAGTGCAGTGGTATTTAATGAATGGATAGCAACCGATACGCAAAACGTGGTAATTGTCGTCACCGACGGACCAATTGAAGTGAGAGCACCCGAACTGGTCGTTCACTACAGACTTGTATCGCACGAAATATGAGCTCCAAAACGGTCTCCGAGTCTTCAGATACGCCGTCAACACATCCGAAGACAACGGCTTTTGCTTACAATCGATGTGGAGATAGAGTTTGAGTCGAGTCAACGGTCCGTATCTCGCGATCGGTTCCCAAATCATCTATTCTTTGGCTATACTTTTAAATCACTTGTTTTGAAAACATTTCAAACTTTCATTCATTGGTTTTATATGTGTTTTGAGTGCAAGAGATGTCGCGATTGAGTCATTGTTTTGCTTTTCTATTCATTTTGTTTGGCAGTCATTGAAAATTGATGTTCACTTCAAGTGAACGGTTTGTTATTGTCTGTCAACACATCCACTCTTTGACTCTCACTCTTGTGAGCACCGATTGATTGACAGTTGGAAGCGATGGCGAAGCGGAAGAGTAAGAGAAAGCCAGTGACGACCCGAAAGGCGATCCAACCGTTGGACACACTGTTTAACTGTCCGTTTTGTAACCACGAGAAGTCGTGTGAAGTAAAGATGGACAGAACCCGTAACTCCGGACGCATTTCCTGTCGCATCTGTTTGGAGGACTTCCAGTCCACTATCAACTACTTGTCCGAACCCATCGATGTCTACAGCGAGTGGATCGACGCCTGCGAGTCCGCCAATCAATGATTCACTTTATGGTCAAAACTCATTCATTGTTTAGTTATTATAATACACTTTAACTCACTTTTGATTTCATTTCACACTATTTTTTGCAAATGTTTATTAAAATTAATGTTTAAATATTGATTAAAAAAGTAATTCAAAATAAATAGACGACAAAATGATTGTTTGAATTAAAAAGTTAATTATTATTAGTGACGGAGAGGTTGAGGGCGTCCTTAAACATGAAGTTCCTGAGAGCCCACAACGCGTTGACAACATTGCCGTGATTTCCGGCCCCATTGGCCAACCAATGGACGGGCAAACGGTTCACCTCTTGGGGCGGAGTGTTGTCTTGAGTGGCGGTCAACTGTGTCTCCCAATTGCTTATAGATCTGCCCTCTCGTCCCTCTGAACTCAGTTTCTCGATATATCTGCAAAATGGACAACAAATATAATGAATTGCAAAATACTAATCAATAACTGAATGGTAAGTCAGACTTCATGTAAGTGTGAGTGTGAAGCAATCGGTTAGTTCTGGGAGGCGTCGCCACAAAAATCGGCTCAACCGGTTTCACCTGAACTCCAGTGCCTAATAAAAGAGAATAATTATATTATAAACGCATACAAATAATGAAAGCCACAAATGAAGAGCAGAAACAATAATAAATGAACGGAAAGCCTAATAGTGGAAGAGAGAGAGCGGTCTGAAGCCGCAAAACCCTTAACAATAAGCCCACAAATGCCATACAATAAGCCCTAATATTGATGGCATTCGGTGTCTAGTCTTACCTGAAGCCCAGAATGGACTCAATATAGGCATATGCGACGACTGAGGGTTAGTGCCGATCGCTTGAGAGAGTGTGGGATGTAATGAACTAATTGTCGATTTATTGTCGCCTATACTAAGTGCGGGGGAAGGGCTTGAATGCGATTGCAGTTTGTTATGGCTAACTATAAACGAAAATCAATTCAAAATCAAATCATAAGTCATGCGAATAATGAAAAACAATACCTTTTATGCTAATTAATTACAATATAAGCAAAAAAACTAATTAAGAAAATGTTATAACACTTACTCGTGAGTTGTGGTACTGACTGTTGTGTTGCAATTGTGGTGACGTTTAATACAGAAGAGGCCACGGATGACACGGCCTGTGTTCTACGGCTTTGAACGCAATTTCTACACAAAAGAGATTTTATGATTTTTAGGGCCAAATTACTAATGAGAACATTAAATACTTGTTTCGATTTTCGGGAGCAATCGATTTAGGCGTTTGTTTCGAGACGTGAATCTCTTTGCAGTGACGCACAAGTCGTTGAAAGCTTGGAAACGGTCTATAATTTTAATCATAAATCAAAATAATTAGCATTTTATGATTGAATTAAAAGCATTGTATGAAGTATTATAAGAGGAATGCCATACGCGGCGCCTTTCTTCACACGACCGCATCCGCGGAAAAGACACTGAAATTCTGTGCCCTCTTTGTCTTTGTTTTCTCCATACGATTGCCAAACGTGTCCATTGGGTTCGGATATGAGATGTTCCAAGAGATCGGAAGCTTCTTCGAACTGGAAGTCGCATTTGCTCTCCCAATGGCACTCATAGACGGCGTTCTCAATCACTGAACTACTGGCCGAAGCGGGCGATTGAGGCATTTCCTGTTCTCGGAGTGAGTGCTCTCGAGCCGTCTCTTCGTTCTGTCGCTGAGCCTTCTGTTCGTACTCTGACTTCTGAGTCGGCGGCAAATTCTTCCATTCGGTGCCTATTATTCGACTCACGTCTCCGAAAGAGCACTCGGGGTTCGCCTGAACCACAGATTTCCTCACTTCACTCGCGAACACTATATATCCGGTGACTAAACGCTTAGGAATTCTTTTCTTTACTAAAGTAACAGGTGTTGGAATCGTGTGCTCAATAACTGGTACTATCGCTGTGTCCGTAATGTCTTCGGTCTCCACTTCAGTGGAAACCCGTTCTATAGTGGCTAACGAAGTGTCGAAAGGGTTTTGACCTTTTCGTGCGACAGCAGTGGTCGTCGAAACCCCGGTTTCGATCTTTTGCATAACTAATGCTTTTCTAAAGTAATAGATCTCGTCGTCGACTACTCCCGGACGCGTCGAAACCGATTTTGGCAAACCTTTGGCCAATTTCTGGAACTTCTTCTCGTGTTCCAAATATCGAGACTCACAGACGTAAACGTCTTTCTCTGGTATTTCAGTTGGTCTGCGAGTAATGTAATCCTTGTATTCAATGACAGCACAGCGCTCGCAGATACTCAACAGTGGGTTCGTGTCCTCAATAGAGCTGAGGAACACTTCCTGCAAATAGAATGATTTGTAGAGCAGAGGCGGCAGTTCTGGCTGCTGGACAAACCACGGCCCGTGAAAGAACGAGTTGCCGTCTTTGTCGACCCACATCCGGTCGATACGACAGATGAGATTCCTTCCCGTATCGGTTCGCACATAACAACAATCGCCTA